CGGCGGCTGCTGTCCGACGATGGGATCCCGAGCTTCCCCTGGGATCTCTATGCCTCGACGCTTGGGAATCCATGTCTCATACGCTGACCGTTTCGCAGGATATGAGGTTATTTCCATCGACCGGATAGATACACCTATGGCACTAATACCTGTCTCCTCGCGGAGGATACAATCGCTGCTATGGGTATCGATTTCATTTGACCATGTCTGTTACTATCACATACTACATTCTAGGTAACTAATGCGAGCTCTAGGACGGTGCCGAGCCCGACGATTTTGATGAAGAAGACTTCAGCGTACCCACTTCAAGTTAAAGGTCCGGAACGCGCCTTTCGGTCTCAGCCTCTGCCCCCACGCAGCTCAGGGTCTATGGCGGCATCACTATCTTCTGCCCCCGGAGTCTCGCTTGCTCGCTCTACCTGCGTTCCACCACCAGTTTTCGCTTTGCCCTTTTTCTTCGTCTTTTCACCTACGTCGCTCAATCGAACTTTCTTCCGCTTAACGTCCTCTTTCTCTTCCTTCATCTTCCTTTTCTTCTCCTCGAGCGCCTCTGGATCCTCAGCGTCACCCCACGCTTTCCCGCTTCCTGCTATGCGAGGTGGGACGTCATACTCCTTATTGGATTCAGTCGCTAGCCATTCCTCCGACACCATCCATCGCCGGGCCCTATTCTTCAGCGTTGTAGCAACAGGTGGTGGCTCATCCTTGACTGGTCCGGCCACACGGGCAGTATACTTGCTCGTTGTTTTGGGATCGGCAACTTGGTCTACAGCCTCTAGAAGGCATTGCATCTATATGGGTAAGTGGTCAGGCACTCGCAAGTCACTGCTCACGATCTACTTACTACATCAGATCTCCAAGCCGGGCGGCGGGAGATGTATCTGTTCGTCTTGGTGCCTCGCTCATCAAGCTCGTCTTCATCGTCGGACATGAGTGTTGCTGTGAAAGCTGCGTCGTACTTTGGAAGCCGGTACTCTGAGTCTTCCGGCAGCTTCTCTCGCTTACGCAGCCTGACATCAAGTTTCTAGACAGTACAGGATTCCCCGAGACACAGAGTCAGCCACGCAATGGAGAGAACGGTGAGATACATACTCCTTTCTGCCGACTCTGCCGCTGAGCCTTCAACTGCTTCTTTGATGGTGCCAACTGACTTGCAGTCACCGTATCTTGCACGCCATGATCCGGGGTTCCGTTGTTGTCACGGTTTGCCGGGCTGTCACTTCCCTGACCCGCAGCACGTTCACCCTCATCATTCCCACCAGCACCTTCGCTACGTCCGTCTCCCCCTCCAGCACCGGAAGATGGTGCGTTGCTTGACTCCTTTTTCAAGTTCTTGAACTCCCTGACGTTCCTTGCTAGATTCTTATATTTGCCGATTACTTGTGATTCCAGATCTTCGGCAGTTATAACTCGTAATGCCGGGATAGCGGTAGGTGCACGTTCACCGCCTTTTGTACGAATATAGTTGACTATGGCTTGGATTCCGCGCCAGTTGTCGGGGTCAGTTGGTGCGCTGTCCCAATCGAACCGCACCAACCGCTGGCCGGTAGCGTCATCTTTCGGCCATGCTTCGGCATCCTCGGGATCGGTAGGCCACGTCGGGAGCACATCCGGTGTCAAACGGCCAATGCCCATGAGCAGCTGAAACACTGTTCGAATCAAGTGCTGTGGAAAGTAAGTGCCGAGCGTCTCTCGGGTTTCGTTGCACTCACCCGCAAGCTCGGGTCCTGTGTAGCTAGGTAGCTTCGCTCGAGGCGGTCTAGGCGCTCCTGCGACTGCTCCTCCCCTTCCTCGTCAGTCTCGCTTGCATCACCGCTGCCAAATGTCGTGGTGAACTGGTCTTCGAGCGCTTTCATACGGGTTTCCAAGTCTTCGAGGCGTATCTGGAGCGCTTCATTCGTCTCTTCAAGCTCCTCGATTCTGGCTTTGTGACGTGCTACGGCTTTGATGGTCTTGTCTAGCTGCGCTTTTACCCCATCTGCGGTCTGTTCTGTCTCGGCAAGGCTTTCTTCCAGTGCTGTTATCTTGGCGATCATGACCCTGTTTGTGGCCACTTTCGCCTGTGGTTTCATCCTTCGGCGGGCATGTTCTAACCCGATGAGCTATGAGGCT